AAAAAAAAATAAAAATAAAAAATGAAAAGTATAGAATAGCCTAAAAAAAAAAAATCCTTACAACACCCCTGTTGAAATAGTACCATTCCAATTATACCAGGAAACTGAGGCTTCAATAGGATAAGAAATCTATACAAGGTTACAACCAGTAAGTGGTAAGTCTGGGGACTGAAACCAGATTTTTATAACTCCAGAGCCTGGGATATTCTCCATTATCAAGCTGCTTTTGACCTGGTCTGTGGACATCATATGCCTTCAGCCATGTCACTTAGGGCTCACCATTTCTTGCTTTCAAAACATTTACACAAATACTTGGAAAATTATGAACCAACTTAATAGTAGCTATCAACCCTCATTGAATCTCCTATGCCAAGCATCTTATAAAAATTAGGTTGGAAATATTCTTTCTGGTGTCAACAAAATCAAAACTCAGAGAGTTTAAGTTACTTGCCAAGTAGATCACAAAGGTGACAAATGCTAAGCAAGGATTAAAACCAAGTCCTACTTATTCCAAAGCCTGTTCTCTCAGCTACTTCATACATTGCTTCTCAACATCAAAGCCTTAAACAAACAACACAGGAGCTCAAAATAAGGGTCCATTTTGAATAAGGAGATTGGAGAAGACTTTATGCAGAGTTGACATTAGAAATAAGTCTTGAAGCATGAGAAGGATTATGATAGCTAATGAACAGTAAGAGGAGTCTGAATACTCACTCACTTATCCACTCATTTGATACTGTGTTTTATGGAGCATATACTCTGTACCAAGGCCCCGTGCTGGTGACTGGATGAACATGATAGCCATGATCTCTACCCTTGTGTTACTACGGCTACTGGGAGAGTACATAATAGTCCAGCAAACATACCAATAACTGAACTCATGACAAGTTCTGTGAGTGCTACGAAGGACACAAAATGCATTGTAGGAAAAAGAACAAGGGGTATTTTACTTAGTGAGGATCAGGGAAGGCTTCTCTGAGAAAGTGACGTAAAAACTGAGCCCTATATTTGAGAAGGCATCAACCCTTCAAGAGCAGAGAGAAGATCTCTCCCATCAGAAGAGTCTGCAAAGCTCTGAGGTGAAGGAAGAAATTCCGTGTGGGGAGCCCTGGTGTGTAAGTAGGAAAGAAGCCCAGTAGTTGCCAGGAGGCAGTCAGGAGCCAGACCACTCAGAGCACCATAGGCCATACTTGGGAATTACAATTTCATTAAAAGGACAGTGGGGAGCCACTAAAATGTTTCACCAGAGGAGTAAAATTCTCCTATTTATGTTTCTATGTCAACCTGGCCACTGTGGAGAAAAGATATAGGAAGACCAATTAAAAAGCTAGAGCTGTAACCCAAGCAAAAGATACTGGTGGGTGGTCAGGGTGGTGGCTGTGGATGGCCAGAAGGAGGGAGATAATTTTAAGATAGAATTGACAGTTTGTGTTGATGGACTGGGTATAGGAGGAGGAGAGATAAAGAGAAAGGAATAAAATCAAGGACGGCTACCAGCTTTCTGGCTTGAACAAGTGAGTGGAGGTGGGTGCCATTTACTAAGATGGAGAAGATAAAGAAGGAATGAGGCAGATGGGGAGAGTGGGGCAAAAGCATGTGGAGGGACGAGTAGAATGAAGAGATCTGTTACTTATGATGAGTAATAAATTTGGGTGTAAAATGACATGCTACCTTTAAGTTATAGCCCAATGAATTGTACTGAATTAAAACGAGTCCTAGCAGCACATGTCAAGGAAGGAGAAAAATGGCTAAGAGATTTACATCCTGCACCAACTTACCATCCTGCTTCTAAGTCAGCCTCACCCAGCTCAGATATCCGTTCATTCAGCAGGCTTTCCTTGAGTACACACTGGTGATGCTGGGATCAATTCTGCAGATCAAAAACAAAGAAAATAATAACAATGCAACTAATTCAAATTCTGTGTGGTGGATAAACATGTTTGACAGTCAAGAGGGAACACCACAAGAAGCAGGGATACCTTCTGACAGGAGAGGAGGCTAGGAGAAGACAGTGACATATGTACTGGCCTTGAAAACTGTCAGAATTTACTACTAGAAGAGGACAAGAAACAGCATTCTAGGCAAAGTGGAGAGTAAGGACAAAAGATGGAGGCACAGAGGTACATGGCATAAATAGGGGACAGCACATGTGGTTCCAAGAACTGGGGAGGGAGGGATTTGGAGTGAAAGGGGCAACATGCTTGGGATCAGGTTGTGAAAAACAGTACTGAGTGCCATAATATTCATTCTATCTGTAACTAGCAAAATGCACCACTACATATATATTTTTTTCTCCCATCATTCTCTCTGTTTCTGTCTAACTGTATCTGTCTCTCTCTCTCTCTCACAGACACATAGACACATACACGTACACACACAATCCTGTGATGTTGTTTCCCATCTTAATGTTGCAAATTCCTCCTCGTCTGTACCTGGAGATGAGAAAAGTAAGGGAAAGAAAGGTTATGTGGATAAATTGTTCCCAAGTGCAGCTAAAGATAGCTCTGAACAGGTGGACCTCAGTGATGGCAGCTTCTGCAGTTTAGAGCATAATTTCTTTCTCATTCTCATCAAGACTACCCAGCCAACAGTCTTTTCCCCTTCAAATCATTCCTACATCATTGCCAGATTCATCTTCTGGGGAAAATTAAGTGTATATCCCATTATTCCCTTGTTAAGAATCTTTCCCTAATTTTCTAAGTCCATCAAGGAGCTCCTGCTGTTCTCAAAATCCACAGAGCCCACTAGAGGGTAAATCGCTACAAGGGGGAAAAATTGCTCATAATATTTTAAAAGGAAATAGAAATATACAAGAAAGGGAGTTGGGCAAATATGTTCACCTGGATAGGACTCACGTAACATTTGTCGAAAGAACACGTTTGATGGTTTCTGTCCTAGTGGTGTGGGATGTTGGCCTGGAAGAGAACTGTCTATCAATACTATCATTTAATATGTCTACTGTTTTGGAAGATGGTCTGTAGGAAGAAACCTGAGACAGGTGGTTGTACTATATTTACACCTTGCTACTGTTTTTCTTCCTAATCAAAAGTGACACTACCAGCAATAGATGCTATCTTCTGGTGCAGGTGTGAGTGAAAAGACAGATCTGAAGCCCCCTTGCACACTGCTTGCCCCTAAAGATGGAACTTTGATTTGTGGCTCTTACAACAGCCCTGTCTAGTAGAACTTTCTGCGGTGATGGGGATGTTCTCTCTCTGTGCGGTCCGATTGCATAACTGAGTCACACGTAGCAACTGAGCACTCAAATTGTGGCTAGTGCAACTGAAAAACTGAATCTTTAATTGTATTTATTTTTAATTAATTTAAATTTGAATAGCCATATGTGGCTAATGCCACCATATTGAATAACACTGTTCTTTATCTACCAAGGTCTTTTTTTCTAGTTCTGGGTCTCCTCTGTGTGTGTGTGTGTGTGTGTGTGTGTGTGTTTATGGGTGGTTGCATTTGTTTCCCGAGGCTGCTGTCATAAATTACTACAAACTGAATAGTAGATAACAACAGAAATTTATTCTTTTACTGATATGGAGCCAGAAGTCCAAAATCAAATTATCAGGGTTGGTTCCTTCTGGGGGCTTTCAGGGAGAATCTGTTCCATGCCTGTTCCCTAGCTTCCAGCGGCTGGCAGTAATCCTTAAAGTTCTCTGCTTCTGTCTTCACATCATTACCTCCTTCTCTGTGTCTGTTTCTGTGTCTCAAATCTCCCTTTCTCTCTTATAAAAAGATACAGCTACTGGATTTAGGATCTATCTTAAATGATCTCAATAATCTCATCTCAAGATCCTTAACTTAATTATACCCGCAAAGACCCTGTTTCCAAATTAGGTTGCATTTACAGTTACCAGGTGTTAGGATTTGGACATGTCTTTTGGGAGATACAATGTAACCCACTACAGCAGTATTCTGGCACTTTCTTCTACAAGCAGGCTTTCGGATTTTTGCATAGGAACACAAATTACCTTCCCAAACAGCAATTTGCATGCTTGTCTTCATAATATCCAAAACCACACACATGCCTCTTTTCCCTAAGCCAACCCCTCCTCCTGTTACAGCCTTCACATCTTGAGCCATTTTGACTCTTTAATATTCGATCAATTACATTTTTAGATGTTTTCCAATTAAAGGTGATTCCTTCCTTGGAAACAGACCTAATTTTGTTCTTTCAAAAGCAATGGAACACAGGTCTCAGGACAGTATGAGAACATTCAAAGAGTTTCTCTCCTTCCCTTTTTGGATTCTTTACTTGGAAAAATATTAAGTGATATCCAGATAGCACCTGGCTTTATTTCAGCCATCTGCATATGAGACTCTTCTTTCTCAGGTGGAGGACATATGGACACTTCCTGCCACTTTTTGTGGGGAGGGGAAGCTACAGACACTGGAAGACTATGGCTCCAGGAAATAAAGGTGTCCTGACCCTATTTCCAAGTCCCCTAGAATGGAAGCAATTGGTGGGGTAAGATCCAGCATAACCCCATCATCTCCTCTGAGGTGGGATGAACAGGCCAGTTGGCTCTGTTCTTTGTAACATCTCTATATTTAGCCGGCTGGCACAATTTTTAGACAGAGATTTCTCACAAGAACTTGGCAAACATTCCATGTTTCCTTTGCTGCAATATGTAGAATTGATATTTTTGACAAAATTGCTCACACATCTTAGTGTAACCAGTTTAGTAGGTGCAATTTGTTAATTTTTTTCCCAAAGCAAAAGGAAAAAATGATTAATGATATGGTGTTGGAGGCTGGGGAGGGGAATTTGACCACAGGTCTCCTGGAAAACCGAGGCCTGTCAAGTCTTCCTTCATGGGATCCCTCACACTCACACCATCTCATCCAGCCTCCTTCCCATCTATGAATCATAACCACACACCCACAAGTAATGTTAGAATTCAAAGACTCTAACTAGCCCCCCTGCTCAGAAATGCCACCTTTCCATTCAATCTGCACCTACCAACTTCATCTTCTAAAACACAAAGGAATTTAAATATTAGCATCTGGGTAGGAGGGGGGTCCTCAGTGAATAATATATTATTTTTTCTGGATTTTGCTTTATACTTGAAATATTTAACTAAATACTTCTTAAATAAATTGATAAATATTATAGTAAGTCTGAAATAAAATTTTTAGAAGACTAAAGCCACTCCTTCACACATAATTAAAAGATTAAATTGATTTTTTTTGAACTATTTATTTAAAATTAAAACTTAAAAAACTTGTAGTTCCCTCAAATTTCAAACTCCTTTGCCTGGCACTCAAGATTCTAAAGCCTCATCCTCTCCTTCCATTATGATTTCATCTCTCACCTCTTCCCTTTACAAGTCATATTTTTCTTGTGTTTTTATCAAATAGCTATCATTATTGAGTGTCAATGGTTTTATATACTTTTTCTTACTTTTCTTTTTCATAAAAACTACACTATGAGATGGTGGTTGTTTTTTTTCCACTTTCCAGATGAAAAAACTGAGCCTTAGAAATGTAGAGACGCTTTTTTCCCCAAATCACACAACTGGTAAGTAGCAAAGCAGGAATTTGAACCCATATTCATTTGCCATCAAAATCCACACTCTTAACCTAAGCACAAAAGTAGTGTTCAAAATCTAGTAGTTATTACTGGATGTAATCAGATAGAATTATAGTCTGTTCTGTCCTGCCTCTTTGCTTTGGAACATCCTCTCTTGAGGACTTTAATGAGCACTGGATGAACTGCACTCCCCTGAAAGCCAATGGCAGGGGTTCTGGTTGCTATTGTTGCAAAACAAATTATCCCCAAACTTTGAGCTTAAAATAACCATTTTATTATGCTCACATATTCTGTGTCTGAAGTTCAGACAGGGCACAGTGGGCATGGCTTATCTCTGCTCCGTAATATTTAGGACTTTACCTGGAAAGACTCAAAGTCATGGAGGTGACTCAACAGCTAGGTATAGAATCATCTGGAAGTGCAACCAGATGTCCAAGATGGCTTACTAACAAGGTAATGCTCTCTGTCATCCAGGGGCCTAGCTGGGAGTATTGTCTGGAGCACCTATTCACAGCCTCTTCTGTGTAGCTCAGAGTAACTGGACTTCTTAGGTAGAGATTAGCAGCTCTAGAATGCACATCCCAGGAGAACCAGGAAGAAGCTTCATGGTCTTTTCTAACCTAGCTTCGCGTGTCACACAGTATCACGTCCACTGCATTTTATTGGTTAGTAGAGAGTCATCCAGACCAGATCAATTCAAAGAGAAGGAACCCCAACTTTTAACTGAAGGGGTATCAGAGAATTTGCTTACATATTTTAAAATCACTACATCAGTATCATCCATAATGAAAGAACAATTTCAGTGACAGCCTGAACACCAGGTCCCAGAACTCAAGTACTGGAAGTGACATCTATAGGAATGCTGAAGTCACCATGATGATGACAGTTTTGGAGCAAAAAAGGAAACCTACGAACTAAGTTGCCAGAGTCATCAGAAAGGAAATAGGAAGAAGTTCTTAGCGGTGGGGGCATGGTGCAGGGGGTAGTACAGGGCAACAGCATGCAGGGGTAAAGAATGCCGTAACCAGATGGCAGTTATTGCTAAACGTAATCAGGTATAATCACAATCTGTTTCCTCCTGTCTCCTCAAAGGAGGGTTTTTTTCCCTCATAATAGTAGAGAATTAATGGTCTACCAAGGCAATGGGCATCTAATATAATGTCATCCTTACCTTTGATCTCTGTGACATTTGGAGAATGGAGAATGACGTGATTCTGCAGCAGACTCAGTGCCCTCCGAGGAGAGCCAGGGTTCAGCTTAGGCAAAGAGACAGGAGTGTTGTGTGATGGCATCAGAGTTATATGCAATGGAACCCGAATTCTAGAAGTTCCAATAAAGTGAGTCAGGAGGGAAAACAACAGAAGGAAGAAGAGTTATGGAAGAGAAAATTTAGAAATGTTTATGGTTTCAAGTAAAAGGAAAACACACATAACACTAAATCAAAAGGACATTTATTGTATCCAACAAGAAATCTTGACAGAGACTGGTCCTGGATTCCTTTGATTCTACCAGTCAGTCATCTACTATGTGTAGCAATGTCTCTCCTCATGATACCAATAGGTCTGTCCGAGCTTTGCATCACATCCTCAGAAACTGGCATCCACCCTTGAAGCAAAGTGAGAAGAAGCAAAAAGACTCTTCTCACTTGCCTATCTTTTGAATGAGGAAGGAAAGCTTACCTCTAAGCCTTCAGCTGACTTCCCTTAAATCCCATTGTCACACATTCATCACTATATCAATCATTGGCACAGAGGAAAGATAATCATTCCTTAAACCAATCATGATTTACCCCTTGGACTGGGCGTGTTGCTACCCAAACAAGAAGATCACGTCAGGAAGGAGAAGGCAGTGGATGCTGGGAAGGCAAGCAAGAACATCAGTTATGCACACGGCTGGAGCTTCAAGTAATGTGGAGATGGGAGAATCAAGACAGTGGGAGACTTGGGATGGCCTCAGTTTACCCAGCTCTAAAAAGAAGAGAATGTACTCACTGATTTCCAAGTCCCTTCAAAGCTGAGAGCCTAATCTTACACCTACAACATTTATCACACTTATACCTTTTTTTTTATTATGGTTATTTCCCCATATTTTAGCTCCCCAACTAGATTATTGGCACATTGGTAGCAGGGATCTTGTTTTCTTTGTCTTCTTATTCCACGTAGTCAGTAAATGTTTGAAGATGAAAGCAATGCCCAGCACTCTTCAAAGCTGTGTGACTTTCTTGGTGAGACCAGTCTGGTTTTCTCTCAGCACCTCCCCAAAGTGAGAGATAGAAAGAAGACATGATCTTGTTTCCCTATATACTGAACATCCACCATGTGATTTCCTGCTGTTGTGGAATCTGAGAAAAATTGGCATAAACAACTCCTAAAAAGAACAGCCAAGCACACAGACCCCATGCTGCATCTTTAGACAGGAGCAACTGTGCATCCTCCACTGCATTCCAGAGAGATGTATCCAGACCTGGACACACTGGAACAGAGATTTATTTTTCTCTCTGTGGATTGAGCTGTAAAAAGCTAATAGATAACTGAGAGAAGGTGACTGACGGAGAGAACAGCATGGAAGAGGAGGGGTGACAGGAAAAGCTGGACATTTCTTTCTTGTGGTATAAAACAAATCACAAATTTGATGACCATTTGGACTTAGCTAAACTGTCTTTAGTCAAATGATTTTTTTAGTTATGGATTCATGACTTTTAAAACTTGATGGAGTTTCTTTCCAGTTGGCCAGTTTCCTGTGAGATTCAAATATTCAGAAATGATCAGATAGAGTAGATGCTTGTTACATGAGAGAATACATGTACTTTTAAATTTAACTCAGAGTGTTTGAGACTTGATATTAATTACAGTTTCCTAAGAGTATAAGCACAGTTGGATTGAGATTTATAGAATTGTATAATCTCAAACTTGGAAAGGCCCTAAAGATCATTAATTGCAACCACCCCCGCCCTCCACAGTGTTTCGTTTCCTCTACGAGCAACATCATCATCCAATGAAGCTTGAGGATCTCCCATGATACAAAGCTCACCCTCTCTCAAGGCAGCCCGTTTTATCTGTGGGGCCACAGATTACTAAAGAAGTCTTCTTTCTATTAAAAATATGACTCTGTGAAGCTTCCACCTAGTTGATCTGTTAAACTACTGAGCAAGTTTCATCTTCATTCTTGTGATAGTCCTTCAATTTGGGAACATAGTAACATGAGTAACACCATCCTTCTGAATCTCTTTACTATCACGTCATTTTGATATAAATGGTTTCTTTCTGTATTCCTCTTAATGTACAGTGACTACAAATGCTCAAAATTCGTATGTGAGACTATAGAGCAGATTTGATCCTCTTACATCTGAAACACTCCATACTTGTAGTTGCTATATTGACAAGGTACAATCTGAGGCATTATCAAAATGTAACTTCCTTTTGTCTCCTACTTTCACATTAAAATGTAATCAGAAGTGGTAAAGATCATGATGTTTTTCTCACTCTTAACTAACTGACATTCCTAAGGTCACTTTAAGTTACAAACATAGACTCAATTCAGTCGTGAAAATGTCCACTTTAAGATATTAACCAAAATTATCAACTTGATCTAACATTGTCCCCTTTCTACTTTCTTAGCTTGGGTCAGCTTCAGGCTGGAAGCCTGCAACAGGAAAAGGGTGGTGGTTTCATGTCCTTATAAATGGTGGTAGGTGGTGGTTGGCTTCTTCTGTTTCTCCACCTGCTAACTAATTTCTGACCTTTCCAGGGTTAGAGTGAATAAGATGAAAGACAAGTTCTTAAATCACAACCTGGCTTTCTTCTCTCTGGGTTTGGCAGATGTTTATTTTTTTTCTTTTGTGGGTGTTTTTGTGCACTTTAGTTGAGAATTCCATCTCCGAAGATCATTTTCCTGAAAATCTCTTGATCCTACCACATCTCTACTTCAGCTTGTTGTCTTGATGATTATTATTTGAGATCTTTCCTCAACCCCTAAAATTCAGCATTCTCCTTCATGTTCTTACTGCTGGGGTCGTTTCTCTCCTACAGGTAGACAGATTAAACAGGACTCACATCAGCCTCACACCAGCTCTCTCTCTTCTGTATGGTCCACATATGGTCCACTCCTCATCTCAACAAATGCTGGGTGTAGCAGCTGGCCTTATGCAGCCACCTCGCCCTCAGGCATGAGTAGGGCACCAACTCCCTGGACTAATAGTTGTACTGAGCACACACTGAAGCTCTCCAAATCACTTCATGGAAGCTCCTCTCAGGAGAGCAGGCTGGAGGTAAAGGTTACAGCTTTTGTCAAAGTAATTTCCTGCCCACATTTACCCACCTCTCCATGTTCGTATCCAGTTTGTAGCTACTTCCTTTGCAATCCTGCATGCAGTGATTTGCCTCACCCTCACTTTAGTCTCTAGTATCTATTATGCTGGAGTCCAAGATGAACCTGAGGCAAGAAGAGTCTCACTCTAACCTGCTCTCTCATATTCATGAACATGTAGTTTATGGTCTTATTAGCCATCTTATTCTTTCAAGCCATGCTGAATGTATTCTCTGCCAACATCCCTGTGGCAGACTGCCAGTGTTCTCCAAAATCTGTTCTTCTTAGTAGAAGAGCTTTAGTTTGTCCCGTTACTTTAAGCTGGAGAATGCATTTTTCCTGCCTCCTTTGCAGCTAGGTGTGGTCCTGGTATTAAGTCCTCACCAACAGAATGTAAGTGGAAGTGAACAGCGTCCCTGTAATTCTATGTGCTTAAGAGGAATCACAAGGTTCAATTCTGGTTAAGTTGGAATAAGCACATCCCACACTATCTCTCTCACTTATTAAGACTGAAAAAGGTGGGAAGTATATAAAGCAACTACTAGAGGACTCTGAAAAGTGCATAAGAACATGAGGACTAGACAGGAAGTTCAGGACTCCAAAGCAGCTCAGCAGTGTTGTTCGTATTGTTTGCTTCTGCTTCTGATATGTGTTCACTTGGACTCTGGATCAGCCCAAAAATGGAACCACGGAGAAGCAGCTCCAAGAGAAGCCCATGTCCTCTGGTCAGAGAACCAAGTGGGGTGGCAACAAAAACCTATACATGTGTCAAAACTCATAGGACTATACACCCTCCAAAATGAATTTTACTATCTGTACATTAAAAACAACTTTTAAAAAGTAAATCATTTTTCCCTGGACATACTTTTTACAGCACTTTAACACACTGGTGTAAAACTGAGCCATTTTGCCCATGCAGACAAGGATATCACCCTGATGGATGGCAGAGCACACCCTGGAGCACATCCAGCAGTTTCCACCACCATCTGTGAGGTCTGCTTTTTGTAGCAACTTCATCTTCACCTTACCTACTCAAACTTCTAATGCTTTTCACATGAACAACAACTAAGGTATGTCTGCCCCATCTAGCATGGGTGAAGGCAGCTGTTTAAATTCAGGTAATGTGTCATCCAAGCCAACCTGGATTGTATTGGATTTAGATTCTGTCATACAATATATTTGCCATTCCTCCCAAGTGAGTCATACCTGAAATTTTACTACCGATAAAGGCATTGATAAGCATGTTGATTAGGACCACAGAGAGAGCCACAGGGCACCACTGACCTCTATTTCAAGGAGAAAAGGGAGAATGCTTACCAAAACATAGAGAATACAGAACTGATCAAACTTTTTGAGTGGCATTTCTATCTAGACTGATAGCAATGGATTTAATTGTCAAACAGATTATTAATCCATCTAATTATGTCAGGTCTAGCTTATTTCCCATTTTATCCACAAGAAAATAATGGGAGACTTTTTCATTAGCAACTTGCTAAAATGCAAATATACTCAGTCTCTCGCACTCCACTGGCATTCTAGTTTTCAACAAGGCAAATAAAAAATTAATTTCACCAAAAACCTTGTTCTTAGTATACTAAAATTGTCTTGGTGGCAGACAAACACTATAACGATCAATTCTAAAATCTTGTTCGGGAGCAAAGGTTCCAATCTGAAGCTTCCTGAATCTATACTTTACTTTTTTTTTTGAAAATCAGAAAAACTTTTTTAGTCTCCATAGTTTTCTGGCACATCTTGTCTTTGTCTTAATTCTACAACAATAACCAAAGCAGTTCAATGACCTATCTTACAAATTCTCCACAACCATGAGAAATAATCTAAGAATAATCTTATGCTGAGAGAAAAAAAGAAGTCACTTGTAGTACCTAAGTTGCCTGTCCTTCAACTCTTTATCCAGCTGAGGTTTCAGTCCTTCATATCAGAGTTCATTTATTCATTACCTCATTCACCCATTCAATACTATCTACTGAGAGTCTCCTATG